TCTTCTGGCGTCTCCTCATCCCGGCGTGGAAGGTCCACGAGCACGCGGCCACCCATCCTGTCCTCACAAAGCTCGAGGGTCTTCCGATCGTCGGCGCGCTGGTTCGATTCAGCAAGAAATTCGACGTCAGGCTGGTGTTGGAGACATTGTGGTTCATCTTGGTCAACTTGGTGACGATGTACATCTTCATCGCCAAGCCTTACAAGTGGAGAGACGAAAATGGGCGTATTCTGGATGGTGGCCGGATGCAGCGCTTCATGTGGTAGAACACCACCGCCTTGCCTTTCACATCGCACATGTACAAAGAACGCGTGAATACAGAGACGAGTGGTGAGGTGAAAATTGTATTGTAATCTGTTCAGCGGTCTTGCCCAACTTGATGCTTTTCTCTTTTTGCATAGCAATGTTTGCACTTTCACGTGTGCTCTAACCCTACGGCGTAGGATTCGTTGGTCGTTGAAAACAACAAGAAATCATTAGCCCATCCGTAAACGCCGTCCCGAGGTCCCGAAATCCTCGGGTGTTCAATGTCCCGAACTTTGTCGGTTTTGTTCGTTTAATGATGCCCTTGTCCCATATCCGCCTATGTACCCAATGTCATGCCAACTTCGTGGTGTCCCTGTCATTCTCTCGATGTATTTTCGTCGTCGTCATCATCCTCGTGTCGGTTCTATAAGCTCAGTCGATCGAGACTCAAGCCATCGTTACTGCGCACCCTCCGTACGACGCCGAGCTTGAAGAACTTTTCCTCGCCGCCGGCCGTCCGCCCGCCAATGTACCACTTGTCGGCACCCAGAACGTCACGGAACCCCTCACTGCTGCTGTCACTTCCTCGTCGTCGGTTCGGGTGGCTTCCGGGAATCGGGATGCCGCCGCGGGGCGAGTGTAGCGGGTACTGGTTCACGACGCCTGACGTTGAACGCGTCGCGGAGTTGGCGGTGGCGTTGGCGTTGGCGCTGCTTGATGATGCGGCATTCGAGGATATCGCACGCGGTGCCGAGGCGGCGGACTGGGTTGCGTAGGATGCTGAGGATGACGTCTGCGTAGAGTGCTTGTTCGGTTGCTGCGCGGACAGAGCCGTGGATTGACGGAAGGAAGAGAAGAAGGTAGAGAGAAAGAAGGGGCGTTGGGAGGGCATCGTGGCTATCGCTGACTGTTCGCCCAGCCAGATGTCGATGATGGAGAAGGCGAGATGTGTGGTTGCTGAGCCCGGCTCCCCGTGCGTGCGTTGGTGCGCCGCGATAAAAATCGGTCGAGGGGGGATTGAGGGGAGGGCACAAGGACGTTATTGTATTTTGACGTAAGTGCCTGGACGGGGAGGTTTCCGGTTCCAAACGATAAAATCAAAAACTCGATCGGGGGACCCCTATTCTTTCTTTCCCTTCTTGTTTTTGGCTCTGGAGCGTGTAGTGGTCGTCCGGGTTGCTGGGGGTTATGCTGTCATCCGTGCCCGTGCCGGGTTGGTCCTGGAGTAGAAAGTCCAAGCTTGCGCTCCAAGACGGTTTCGCACGGGAAAAGAAATGAGCAGTCGCGGGGACGCCGTTATTTGCGTGTTCAGTCGTCTGTCGAAGGGGCCGTGTTGTTCGAAAAGTGTCAGTCCGGGGATGGCTCGCTGTCGTCGGTGATGTATGGCGGAGGTGGGAGTGGGAGAGAGAGCGAGTCGGTCGGTACTCGATCCCGTGGGCGGGATTTCGATCGCGGAGGAGTGTGGACGCAAGTGATCGACGGCAGAGAGTTGGCAGGCCGCAGATAAAGCGTAGGGCTTTTTCGTGTGCGTGGGAAAGCGTAGCAGTTGTGCGGCGTGGTGTTTGATGAGGTCGTGTCGTTCCGGCGTGAAGATCCGGGGAGGTGTGTGTGGTTATCGGATGCAAGTTGGGTGAATAAATCCTGACGTCGACTCACTTGTGGCCCGCCAAACTGGATGATGGAGGGGGAGGCCCGGCTGGATGAGGAATGGCGATGGAAGGGCTGGCAAGGGGAGGGAGGGCTTCCAAGTTGCAGCGGTCAGTGGCGGGAGTCTGTCAGTGGTCGGTCGCGCAGGAGACACCGGAGTCTGGCTGTACTCTGCATGCCCAGCGCACTCTTTGCTCCACGGCTTCCACGCAGCGCAGTTGTTGGCACGCAGTTGTTGGCACTCAGCGCGCATCCAGGGCTTCCCCCTTCCATTTCCCCCTCCATTCGGCCAATCCCGGAAGCGGACGAGACTGGCCAGTGCACCGTCTGGGGGCTCCGCAGTGAGTAATGACCAGGTCGCGATAGGTCGGGGTGGGGATTCAGTGTGTGGGCATGGGAGGGGGGGCGGTGGACATCCAGGTCACGTTGTCTGGTTTTGTGGGTACGTACCTCGCTAGCCCCGACCCGACTGCGACTGTGGAGATTCGGCTTCTGGGAAGGAGAAGTCGGGGAAAGGGCACCCCTCGGTCGGGCTTTCCTTCGTCCTGGCCTGGCGTGACATTCACAAGCACCCGACCCAGGTACCTCCCTCAGCTGCTTATCTTATCCGTCTTATCCTTATCCGAGGTCCATCGATCGATGCAGCTGCACCCCAATCATGCCCAGCGCCCAGTGACAGAATGGAAGCCAGTGACATGATAACGATGCACACCAAGACACAACAAGCTGTGGCCTGCACTGCAACTGCAACCGCAACAAGAAACGTCTCCTCGTGCGTCTTCCCCAGATTCTTGGATTTTGCCTTTCTGGGGCCTGTGTCAGTCACTCATGTCGGTCCAACCTTCGTCTTGTCTGAAAGTCAGTCAAGTGTCCAGGCGTCTGCTGTGCCTTCTTGACTTCGGCTCTCTTCGTCTCCTGCATCCGCGCTATCCCACACCACCTTCATCCACCACAAACATGCCTGGTCCCTGCCATCAACCATGATCTGATAATTCTCAGTCCTCTTGAATCATCTCGTATTTTATTGGTTAGCCCGAGTAAGGCCCAGCAGCGCAGCGCAGATCTGGAACCGAAACGCCAGGAAGATGCGGCGGCACAGCTGTGCAACGAACCATAGGATTGCAGCTGGCCTAGATATGCAGCCACCTACGATAGTCAACCTCGTTTAACACGGTTGGTTGGTCGGGTGCCTTTTAGGTCCCGTTGGTTCACGTTGTCAAACTCGACTGACAGCTCGCCCTGTTTGCTCCGTCCACAAGCCATCCGCCCAGCCTCTGGCGCTACCCGAGATGCGAGGTCATCACTGATCAAGGCTCGGCGGCACATCCAACATCATCCTTCTGCCGCGGCGCTTTGCGGCATTTGTGAACACAACCTGCGCATCGCGGCTCCGCTTCGCATCCCAACATGACGCTGCCTACTCACACCCACATCCTTGAACTAGACCGACGTCAGAACGACTTGTATTCCTCTGATACAGTCCTTCATTCAGTCCACATTGTGTTTGAAAGGATACCTTGCCCTAATACCTCGGCCTTCATTGGTCTTCTCGTCCGAAGTCACCCCCTATGGGAGAGCCTTAACCTCCTTAGCCCGCAGCTCCTCCCGCTTCCTTCGCAAGCTCGCAGGCGTTCCTCGGGCGTTCCTTCTCCACACTCAGGTACCACCAGATCGTTCCAACGTTGCGGTTTGTCCCGATGACACTAAAGGGTTGCCCGCGAACCACCATCGTATGACTTGCTTCCTCCTAAGCCTTTCGACAGACCCCTCAGGTTGTCGGCTTTTGTTTAAACACTTCTCTTCAAGGCCGAGCTGTAGCCGGCCAACCGGGTCTCCTCCATGACAGACTTTGCGTCTGTATCGCCCGGTCCCTCCCCTCGATCCCATCTCGACCTTGGGTGTTTTGGAAACTTGCGGGGGTTTGCGGGGTTGGCTTGGGTCTGGGGCAAGCCACCATGCCGTCCGAGACTCCAGCTCCCAGCGCCGAAGGACTCTCCGTTTGCCCGCCTCTTGGCGTTTCGCTTTGCCGTCTGAGATCATCGGCTGGCCGTGTCGAGTGAGGACTGCTGCCCGGCAAGTGCTTTTCGACGGCACGGATCACTGACTTACGCCGACAAGCTATTTCTGGCTTCAGATGATTTGCTCGAAGCCGCGCAAATCGATTGACGTTCATCCTCTTCGGGTACATTCGGCAGGTATGAATTTGATTTGCAACGATCAACTCACTCCTTTCGTGGTCTCTCAAAACACGGCACAAATCAAGGGAAAGTCGTTCGCAGTGAGCACGTAGAGGTATTTCACAACACAAACATGATTGGTTGAATACGAGCAACTTTTTGTTAGGCCGAATTCATCTTCATAGAACGCCAATCTGATTATTTGACGGCCGGCTTCAGGTTCCATGGACTGATTCGATTTGCATTGCTAAGTACGAAGGGTCTCGAGTAGATGATTTTAATCCGTGTCGACTCTTGGCGTATATGTCAAGCTGAAGAACGAGATGTTGCCTGGGTGCCAGTCCTTGATGGTCTTGAATGATCTCATCAAGTTCCAGCTTGTATCAAGCCAGGCAGGCAACCTCGAGCTGCGGCGAAGCACGCCATTTGAGATATTCCCCTACGGCGAGGGGCAGGCAGCAGTGCGTCTTGACACCTACTTGAATCAGAAGAGGTCAAGCTACTGGGTTGGTGGTCAGCAAGCATTTGGAGAGGTCAACCCAATCCTACGCGGCTCAGTGAGACACCACGTACATAGGAAATTTCGGTGAAGTGGCACATTGCCCGACGTCACTTCTGACTTCAGCTCAGAGCTGATGAGAGCCTTGTGAGCCTTCCTGTGATGTCAACGAAACTAGCACTTTACGTAGGGCAGCATGTCTGCTGCGACGTCATCTTCAACCGCCACGAGCCTCATTGACCTCCCGGTTCTCATTGTCTCACTCTCAGCCTCATCCTCCTGCACATGATTGCTCAGGGACTTCAAAACCAATGTCTCGCTGCATCTGTTCTTGACAGCTAAAGATTCTTCTCCCCCCCAGCTCTATTCAAAGGCTTGTTCTTTCTTCATCAGCAATTCACATCTCAATACGGCGCAACTTGCAAGACACGATGGGAGATCAACCCGAATCAAGACTGGCCATTGCCGTCGTTCTCTTAACGCTCCAAGCGCTTCTGATTGTGTCACAGTACCTCGTCAGTGTGCAAGGTCACCGGAGGCGAAATTTTCTTCCTGGACCTGCTTTCCTCGAGTCTCTGATATTGCTTTTCCCAATCTTCGTGGCCGTCCTAGGGGTTATCCTTATCGCTGTCATGTTTACCAGCAAAGATCCGGAAAATTGCAAGGCCAAGATTGACGAGCTATGCAAGGATGACGAGCGGTGCAAGATTGACGGGGTATGCAAGATTGATGGCCTGTGCAAGATTGACGATGATATAGGTGGGCGTGGTATTCGTTTTGCTGCCTGGGCACAACTTGGAGTCTTGCTCTTCCTGGCACTAATTGGAATCTTCCACACCAAAACAACGGGAATCAAGGAGGTTGCCGCTAGCCTCACCATTACGCACCTCGCACTGGTCACCGCGCTTCTCGTCAAGCTGAACGATCTCGAGGCGGCTGACGCCATCCTCGGCTCGATGATACTCGACTCCCAGAACAACGCACTTTCCATTCCGTTAATGACGAAGGCAACCTTGGGGGCGCGGTGGCAGGTCTGGACTATCGTGTCCTGTCAAGCATTTGGATTGGCAGTTCTTGGGGTTCTGGTTCACAAATTCCACCAGAACCACTTCAAAGTCTGTTGCAAGAAGTGTGTATCAGTCATATGGTGGGGCCGACTTTGTACACACGGCTGCACTTCAGGCTTGGAGCAGACGATTTTCTGGCTATACTACGCCTGTAGAGTTTTGAGCATCGCTCAGAGTAGTTATCAGGCTCTCGTGGACACTTATGCCTTCCACGAGGCGGAGAAGAGCGGCCAGTTGGTGGAAAGCAAAACCTTCCATCCACTATATGATAAAAACTCACTTCTCAAGAGGTTCTTTCGCAAAGTTTTAAGAATCCGCGGGTATAGATGGAAGTTTTCAGATTACCCGACGACTTTATCGCTTACGTTTCTCGTAGGTGGAGTCTTTGCGGTGGCTTCCATGGTTGCAGCGGAGGCTGCGATGAAGAAGGATAGTTTTGACACACAGAGCAATGATTTCACAACCGGTCAAATCATCGCTGTTGTGGTCGCCGTGGCTGGTATGATAATTGGAGTTTGGAGATTCATGCGTCTCTTTCTAGAGTCGGAACATGGGGGGATATGGAGATGTTGGTTCTTCGCAAACTCGTGATGTCATTAATTTCCAAGGCATTTTGGGCGACACATCTATAATATTTAAGTTGCAAGTCACAGATAGTCTTACATGATCTGTTGGAGCTGCTGCACACTGGACTGTATCGTGAAATTGACCATCGAAGCCCGGTACTTCGTCCAAATTCTGCTTTTCGCTCACTGCCCTGCTCATATACTTGAGACCTCAGCCTGAACAAAGCAGTCATACACAGACAAACCACACAGAGCCAACAACAAGCTGCAAATGAGGTACATCATCAGGATGTGAAATGTTGCACGCAATGATATGTTCGCTCATGCACGATGAGCGAGAGCGATGTTGTTGTAATATCGAGTGATTAAGGTGAGACAGGGCAGTTAGCAAACTGAAGTTTTTAGCATCCAATCGAGATATTGCAGTTGAGGTTCCGCCTTTGGAGACTCAAATGATGTTAATGAAGGCCCTTTTAGGCCTAGCCAAGCCCGAATACAGTCATAATAAGTTCAAGTCTTGTCATTTTGCTTTACCAAAATTCTCACCCAGCAGCGTGGCTCGAAAACCACCACTATACTAAGGAGTCTTCTTCTGCGGGTTTTCTTTCAGCATTGTCGCATTCAGCGTGGCCTAAGGCCACAGATATCCAATATGCAGGACCCCGTCTGAACCCGCTCATGGATAGCTCATATTGACTGGTGCTCAAGGCGGTTCCGCCTGAGCAAAAGCCAGTGTCGTGTCATGGATCCCGTAAGTAAGTGAGTACCTACCTCCCTGATCCCTATGAACTATGAATACGTCGCTCACAAGTCATATAGGTTAGGCCCACGCTCAGGTCCTCGGGGGTGTTCGCACTGGCCCAATTTGCACTTTGAGCAGTTGACGTTCGAAAACGGATACGCACCAAAGCTGGTGAGATCACGAGAGAGCAATAGCTCTCGAGGAGTGGCGAGAGTGTTGGCTGTCAAGACTCACCTCCGGTGTCTCGTCGAAGTTAGCAGCCCCTGTGTATACGGCCTCTCAAGTTCAGCGTTTGGTATTTCCAGCTGTTCTCCCAACCAATTTATGCGCAGCAGGCATGCATAGTCCTACCAACCAGGCTTGTATAAAGACACTGTTCATTACTTTCGCATGACTTGTTGGTTCGAGTTAGAAATGCCCCCATTTTGGGCCGGTGTTAGCTTTGTGCGGGCAGGCTCTTGATGTAATTTCAAAGTGAGACTGTTACGGTGTCCGTTGCGTTGTGGTTGCGTTGTGGTTGCGTTGTGGTTGCGTTGTGGTTGCGTTGCTGGTCACTTTGCACAATTCGGGCAACTCGAGCTTCTTGTCGTCTTTGGGCTCAAATGCTGCGAAGTTGGTCAAGAAGGACGCAAATGCCACAATGAGTGGCGAGATGGATCGCATGTCGGGGCCGTTGAGCTGGTACTGTGGAAAAGACCAAGGGACCTTGGATGGCGGATCAGGAAGGACATAGACTCCAGTCATCGTCTGTTTCTGAAAACTTTGCCCATTAAGTTGTCCATTAAAAAACCAGACAATCCTCCCGTGCGGTTAGACTCTCCAAAGAAAATCACTATTGTTTCTCGAAAGGTGGCTATAGTGTGAACTGCCGCCGGACTGCACGAGGGGCAGTTCCCAATGGTGTTAGCAGAAAATCTTGCTATCTAGGCTGATACTTCCAGCTAGCCAGGGAGCTACCTATTTTAGGGTACCTAAGGTATCAAAAGTTGTTGTTTTCCAGGAGAAACATTCATTGTTATCACTTCTTTCCTAGTGATGTCTTGGTAACCCCTCTCATAATTGCCTCTCTTCGTCGCCTCTAGTATCGCCGATTAATAGCCGCCTGGGTAGCAAAAGTTTTAGAAAACCGCCCTGCTAGTTAGGGACAAGTTTCTCGACAAACATTCGCCTCCCTTGATTGTTATTTTGATATTGCCACAATCTGTCAGAGGCGTCGAGAACTTCCTTCCCCCGCAGAGATCCGTTTCGTCTCCTTCGATTTAAATAGGATCTCATCAGTGGCTGGTCAGTTAACTCGCAGCGTTCCACAAGTACACTTTCAAAATTCTAGTACAACTGCTATGCCATCGGGCTGCGAGTGGAAGATTGAGGACTCCTGAATGCACCTTGGCAAAGATTTGAAACGAACCCAAATGGGGGCCCACATGCTCTCCAAACTCGCCCGGGGCACACAAGGGTACATGGAGTAAAATATTTTTGATTTCAAAGCCATCATGGTACACAGCTACGTGTTCCTAGCACACAGGGCACACAGGGGAGATTCCTCATTAAGGCTCTCCTCAAAATCACCTTGTGAAGCCACCTTTCGGGGTCGAGTTGTACCCAGACACGTGTACATCATTCCCATTAAAGCAAGAATCTGGAGACGCCGTCATCGGAGCAGTCTTGAGGGCGGGATTATCTTACATAACCACGAAGCTCGTCGGATGGTGCTATTGGAGAAACGACCTACTTCACTAGGCGAGAATCCGTCATCAAAGGGCAAAGCTTAAACCCCTATGTGGAGACATGATACCGCGGAGAGGAAATTTCTTAAGCTAGGGGGAGAGATTGAAGTCACGAGACTGTTATATGCAGATGTAGCTTCACGGATATTTGGGATACGTACCAACACTGATCACTCCAACTCCGCGGAGACAAATGCCGGTCCTGGATGTCAGGTGCCAGGGGCATGCGATATCCCCATACATGTACTGACAATCCTCTTTGCATCAAGATCCGCGGCTGCAGATCTCTTGGTCGCTTATGATTTCTTTTATAATATCTGGTCTGCCTTGAAATCGGATGGAGAATCTTGGAATGAACCGTTGGGTAGGGAACTCAGTCACACAGTCTGGACATCAGATGATATCATTATCATCGCCGGTCCGCAACATCATAATTTGGGCCGGTCTTGCAACCCAACTTCTGAAATTCATCAAGGCATTGAATCGGACAGATAATACCAAACAATCCGCATGACTTGTAACAACGCCGTACACCCAGAGGCACCATGCGGCCCTCTAGCCGGCGGGAGACTCGGGACGTCCGGAGACAGGGGAAGGCACTAGGTGGTGAATTTGAGGGGGCGATGTGAACAATATGCGTAGGGCGGACCATAAAATAGACTAATCGTCCGAAAATCCCGAGTCCGAACCAGTGGAACCATGTCCCCATACATTTTTAAGACGGAGGCTATGAGTAACGAAACTCGAACTTCTTGGCCAAAACTCCCTCGAGCGACTCGAGTACGTCGTCACTTAACCCCTGACAAGCTGGACCCTTGTTCATCGCCGTGCCAAACAGCCCCCAAAGTCCGAACTCCTGGGTCGCAACGGCCTTTTTTAACTTTTTACTCTCCGTCTCCTGCGAACCCCCTCAAGACATCACACCATCTTTTTTCTCTTGGGGGTGTCAGCTTTGTTGCACTGCGCCGCCCGCCTTTAGACTTTAGTCCCTAAAACATCAGACTGTGATCATGCCAAACACGACAACGAGTCAGAAATGGGAGCAGAAATCGTCGCAAGTGTACGGACAGATGCAGTCTGAAGTTTTGAACTCTATCTTCGGATGGCATGGGATAAGGCACAACACCATCGGAGGCTTCCGTCGGGTTGACATATATCTTGGCCGTGAGGCCGCGACGATAGCCATGAGTTGAATGGTTCATCACTTTCACTCTGACAACACGGTCTCAACTCTCTTTTTCGCTTCTTCCTTGCACATTCCTTTCTATTGCGCAGTGCCGGCCACTTGCTCTTTCTGCATCCGTTCGTTTCAAGGCCAAGAGTCTTTAATCTATTTACATTCTCTAGAGTTTCCCGAGACCCATAAAGAAACAAGATGAAGCCTACTTTCATTACCCTCGTTGGCCTGTTGGCCTCCTCTGTTGCTGCTGGACCAGTTCCCGCCGAATTTGGCTCTGGTTTGTCGGTCAGAGGCAATGGTGGAAATGGAAACACTGGCAAGCAGTCTGGGGCCAAAGGTGGCAACAAAGGCGGCAACCAGGCCGGCGGTGCCAACAACAGCACGGCCAATGCTGGCGGTGCTACTGGGGGCGCCGCGAAGGCGGGTAACACCACAGCGCTCGTCTTGCCTGATGGTCGTATCAAGCAGGATGCCACACCTGAAAACTTCAACGTACTGGAGAGCGTTTTCAAGAGTGCTGTCGTCAAAGGAGACGGTATGTCAGATGCAAGTCAACGTTCAGACCTGGGAGCTCACACATGCAATAGGCCTTGTATTCAGCGACGTCATTACTTTCCCTCAAGTAGAAGCGTCTTTGGTAAGTTCCCGGATCTGGGATCGCTTGGATCGCTTGGAAATTGTGCTCATAACTGCTAGTTTGACAAGTCAACCAACACCAAGGCTTTTGCCATCAACATCGACGACAAGTCCGTCTTCATCCCGAAGGGCGGCGAGGCACAGTCCAACATCCGCCGCGCCGATCTCCTGCCCAGTATCCGTTCGCAGTTGAACGATGTGGCTGTCACGGGTGTCCGAACCCTGCACTTCTCTATCCAGCGTGATGCGACCAAGCCTCTCAACGTGACCCACGACTACCAAGTAGTGAACTTGGAGTCCAAGGATTTCAGCTTCCACCAGTTTGACGTCCGCACCGGAGCTGAGAACGCAAACGATCTCGCCATCTTCGGCAACTCCAAGGCCACAGCCAAGCCTCAGAAGATCTTCTCTACACCTTTCGGCGAGGGAAAGTTTGAGAACTTTGCTATCAAGATGGATTTCACTGCCAAGTATGTTCCATATAAGATTACTGCGGCATGGGCGTTAGGGCTAACTCATGTGTACCAGCACCATGCAAGTTTTCCACAGCACCGGCACCGACCCCCTTAAGCAGGTTACGGAGCCTGTTCAGAACGGTTCGTAACTTTGTGTTCGCAAGGATTGGCACCAAGCTGACTTCAATAGACATGGCCGGCCTCGGAGAGTACCACTTTTCTCTGCAGAAGAACCCCGTCGGAACGGCTGCTCAGCCGACCGGTATCAAGGAAGCAATCATTTTTGGTGGCATCTTCATGGAAGACTCTACCAACGGACAGGTCACTCTTCAGTAGATGCAGCTAGCATAAGATTCTGTGATGGAACTTCGACCAAGGCACACGTGGCAAGCTTCTATTTTGGGATTGGTTGTACGAGATACTCACTGGTGGTACTGCTAAGACATAATACAACCTTTTCTGGAACTGTATCCTCAGCAATTAACACGCAGTTGCAATTAAGTAAGGTGCAGTGTGTTACTCAGACAGCCCACTTGTCGTCATCATCATCATGCTTGTCCCAAGAGTCCCAGTCGTAATCCTCTTCACCTCCACATTGGAGCTTGCCTTCGTCATTGACCCAGAAACTATCTTTATCGAAGGTCGCCGAGCCAAGAATTATTTTGGACTCTGCGTCCTTTCCGTCGTCGCCCTTGCAATGACACTTAAGGAAAGGCGTGAACGAGGTCATGCCCATCCCATCATCCCCAACCACACATTTGGAGCACTTATCCTTGACTGTGCTTCCACCCTTTTTTCCGGCTTCAACCTCCCCGAAAAATGTGTCGTAGCTGATACACTGGTCAAGGTTGACCCACGTTGGCTCCGTGAACTCTCCCTTTTTGTTCTTGCAGCACGCCTCAAAAAAGTGGTCGCCATTGTAAGGGCCGTATTTGCCCTTGTACGTGCGAGCCTTGACACAACGGCCGTCCAGGATATCGAGACGTGTTCCAGAGCGATTGGGAAATTCGTCGAGTCTTTCGAGACATCTTTTCGGGTCTTTAGAGGGAGGCAGGTAGCCGGACGGTGGGTCACCAGCAAGAGCAACGGCGGCGACAGCCAGAAGAACGAAAGCTTGTGTGCGCATTTTGGTGTTTGATTGTTGTTTGTTTGATGAGAGTATTGTTTATTGAGGGCGGGCAGAGTTCGATTTGAGTAGGTTTTGTTGAAAGAAAAGCTGGTTTGTCTGACTTATCTTTGCTGAGTGATGTGTTGACAGCGGTGTGTTGATAAGTCAGGTAAGACAAGGACGAAAGAAGAGTTAAGGAATGAGAAAGATTTTCAGTCTGATATGTCCTGTTGTGAGACTTCGGAGATACATATGAAGATGCAACCAAGACTAGACCGAAGAAAATAACGCCAGTCTTGTTGCGCGAATCTATGAGCATGTTTAATGCCAAATAGGTTGAAGTGTACATGGTGAACCCGCTCGACCCACCGTTTTGGTTGTTGATATCAGTCGAAGTCGGAAACTTACTACTGGCAATACCTAGGACATTGTCGACGACAATCAACATGCAATCGATAGGAGTGCTGCAACCCATTATTATCAGCAATCTCCCAAGCACTGGGCACGACCATTTCGGTGGAATACTTTGAAGTTTCTGAAGGCAAAAATTCGACCGCGCGCATGTCAGGCATCAAAGCTACATAACGTTCATCGCCGTTCAGTCCAGAAGTCACTAGCATTTCAATCGCGTCTAGTTGAATACGTGGCGAAAATATTTGAAGTCACAAAGAATAGGCTAAAAAGGTTTCTGAGAACCAGGAGAGTCGCAAAGTCTAATCGAAGCTGTCAAATCTCCTTGGAATATAAAGGGTGGGCCAGAAAGCTCAATTCATATGGATCTGTAAAAGCTTACACTCTTACCCATCAACGTTCTTACTGCATTGGAAAGTGTGGCTTGTTCCACGACTCTTGGTGTGCTGTTCTCACTGGGTGGCGCAAAGAGAGCAAACAGGCGCACCATTTGAATCGAGAACCAATGGTCAAATACACAAATGGCTTTTCCCCCGAGTTTTCCCCATGCCATACGGACCCTTTGGAGACTTTGATTCATGAAGTCGGACGCTGATGGGATTATCGCACCCTTAGGACGACGGCGGGATATGCGTAGACGGCGACGGTATCTCGGGCACTCCCATAACGACCCACTACATGAGGGCATGCCATCAGGGTAAATTTCGATGATTTGAGTAAACTGAACATGACCAATACCACCGTCAACCAACAAAGTCCTCTTCCGACTTCGCCTTAGCGCACGCCCTAGATGGCAAACTTGGCAAAGCCCGATCCCGCTTGGCAGCACGCCCTACCATCCCCACTGAGGCCCGTCAATGGCCCAAAACAGACGCCGATTGAAAGGAACAACGGCTAGGGTTCATACTTTCATTCATAGGTGTGTCCGGTATGCTACCTGAGCATACGCTCCATTTGATGGTGTCTGGGGGCAGACCGCAGCAGCCTGAAAGTTGTGCTTGTAGTGCTTGTAGTGAACCAAGTAGAAGCACTGAAAGCTCCCACCATTTGCTCTGGTGTTGAAGTAAGGTAGATGGAAGTCAATCGGCAATCAAACGCATTCGTCATTGACCAATCTTCCTTCCGGTGGCTCGATCCACATGGCCGGACCCGACTCCGCCGGCCCGGAGCGAAAACCGGAATGCTTAAGGCGGCACCCCGCCACAGGTGTGCGGGGCCTTAAGAGTCCACCGTGTTTGCGAAAACGAGAATGCCCCTCCCGATACTCCCCGGGCTTCACGCTTCGTCTTCAGCGCAATTGCGGTAGAGTCCATAGTCCTTGCTATTTTCGACTGCAAATTGCGGCCAATCTTGTTTCAACCTTCGCGGCGACTGACGCCAAGCAGCGGCACACCGTCTTCTTCCCAATTGCTTGGTTCTTACGCCGGAGGGTAATCTTGCATTAAAAACCTGCTCTGCCCACTATTCCGCACCGTTCCGCTTTGTTCCGCTGTCTAATCCCTGGGGTTATGAGTCGTGACTGCACAGAATTGGGTAGCTAATCGCCGAACCGCCTAGTGGACTGATTGCTTACCAAGGCGAAAATGCCGTTCTGCGTCATCGTCTTTTTGTAATCGAGTTCCACGCCTTTCCCGCGTACCCCGAATGCCGACTAGCTTGATGCATGTTGCAAATACCTCGCAGATGAATTGGCTCTATATATATAAGTGCCTCGCATCTTCTTTCAGTTGACTGCTTGAGCGTACTTCCGAGTATACAACTTACATTCACAAGAACAACTCACTCTCCATCGGTCACTGGCGTAATTACAATTCACGCAGAACTTTTCGGGCAAGAAACTTGACCTTGGACCCACCCACTTGGTTCAAGCACTATCACCGACACCATCACGATGTCTACCGCCAACATTTCGGAGAGCAAGCTGTTCCAGCCTCTCAAGCTGGGAAACTCGCAGCTCAACCACCGCATAGCTATGGCTCCTCTGACTCGCTACCGCAACGATAAGAACCATGTAGCGATGCCATTCGTCCCTAGATACTACGGCGAGCGTGCCTCAACTCCGGGAACTTTAATCATCTCCGAGGCCACTGGTGTGTCGATGCAGGATACCGGAGTCCCAGCAGGCCCGGCTTTCGTGACGGATGAGCAGGTCGAGGCCTGGAGAAAAGTCATCGCCGCGGTTCACGAGCAAAAGTCAGTGTGGTTCCAACAAATCTGGGGCCAAGGTCGCGCAGCAGACCCCGAATACCAGAAGGCACGCGGTTTCAAGTACAGGTCATCCAGCGCAGTCCCCATGGAGCCGGGCGCTGCTGTTCCTGAGGCGATGACGGAAGAAGAGATTTTGGAATTCACCCAAGACTTTGTCTCAACTGCGAAGAGAGTGATTGCAGCTGGAGGTGATGGAATCGAGATTCACTCGGCTCACGGCTACTTGTTGGATCAGTTCCTTTCGGATTCAGTCAACAAGCGTACCGACAAGTGGGGTGGATCTATTGAGAACCGATCTCGCCTCACTCTCGAGGTAACGAAGGCTGTCGTTGAGGCGATTGGCGCTGAGAAGGTGGGCATTCGTCTCTCCCCCTACGCCTCCTTCCAGGGCGCAGAGTCATCGAATGTCCACGAACAATACGGCTACCTCGTCGGCGAGCTGAAGAAGATGAACGTTCCCTTTGCCTACTTGTCTCTGGTTGAGGCTCGTGGCGACCCGGCAAAACTGCTGGTGCCCAGCCAGGATCCTTCCATCGAGCAACAGACCCTCGACTTCATTCTGGATATTTGGGACAACTTGTCTCCCGTGATTGTCGCTGGCGGCTACACACCTGAGACAGCGGCGAAGGCCCTGGAGACACACTACGCGAAATGGGACGTCATCGTTGCTTTTGGTAGAAGCTTTTTGGCCAACCCTGACTTCGTCTACCGCGCGCAGCATGGTATTTCTCTCAACAACTACCACCGACAGTCCTTCTACATCAAGGGATCAGACATTGGATACAACGATTACCCATTCTCATCAGAGTGGATTGACGCTCGGAGGGAATGGGCCATTAAGAACCTCGAATCGAACTCCAAATAAACATTGCATTGCGAAAGCGGTCCTTGAGGATGGGTAGAATTGAAACTCACAAATATTTGGCATTAGATTAGATAAGCGGGAATGAAGACTTACGACTTATAAATACTAGAGAATAGAAAGAGATTATATATAAATGACATGTCTCACGAGTTTTGTTCGGAATGACGACATTCTGCTTGTTTATTTTCTGCTTGGTCAGTACTTTAACACCAAGTTCCACAAAATTATTTCCAACAGCAGCTTTCTGATTCAAGGTGCTTGCCGTAAATTAAGTTCTGGCTATTGCAGATACTCGCTGTGCATGCTATCTAACTGCACACGGTATTTCGATTAAATAGAATGAAACCGCAATCGAATAGATCTTTCAGGGCCAAGATTCAACTTTCTAAAACATGGGAACACCACAGCCACGATGAAGATCATAGACTTGACCCCGATGCTCAATAACACTTCCCCACATGGGTTTTGCTATCTGGGCAGATGCTTCCAGCTAATCGGGTGGACTACTACTTGAGACTCTTGCCGGAGTAGTAGCTATACGGCTATTATTATGATTATTTTCGTTATTATTATCTTCGTCTTCATTGTTTCCGTCTCATCATTGTCGTCGTCGTCATCGTCATCGTCGTCGTCGTTATTATCGTTGTTCCTTATTTTGTCTTCAAAGTAATCGTCACTGTTATCCCGTTATTCCAACCGCCCGGATAGTAAGACCCATCTGCATGTGTGGAAAGTAGTTGTACTAGAGAATAAAGCTATATACTAACTTACCAACATAAGGCCTTCGCAGTGACATTTGCTATATTACAAATACATTTCAGGGATTGCAATGTTCAACCATAGACTAGTAGAATCTCGATAATTGAGGAACGATCTTACAAATCTCTTCGAACTCATATAGGGCATCTCAAAGAGCAGCCTGAAAGATATGAGCATCGAACAACTGCCCTGGATATGTCTCTTAGCCTGCAAATAGCAGTATCGTTAGGGTCATGGCAATTGTGTTATGGGATACTGCATCACAAGAACGAGACATAAGAAATGAATGACAGAAAATAAACCCGATGGACGCTTTCCTGAATTATGCTTCTGGCTGAGGTACCGATTGATAAGTCTGGAACTCGACTAGAACGTTATCAACAGCCACAGTGAGGCAATGTGGCGTAGGCCAATTTTGACATTTCCGGCCTCGAACCTTGCTGCTACGGCCGGCGGCGCGCACCCGCAAGTCTCTTATCAGGGTAAACCGGTGCTTAACGCGCTATGCTTTCCACATGGACCGCCGTGCAGGTTCGATACACACTGTTGGAAGTCGACAATCTATACTTTCGTGCTCCGAATTTTCCTCTAGCCATGATATGCCGACGGTGAAGAAATCATTGCCAAAGACACGCGGCTGGTGAAAGTTGGTGTGGTTGTCCTGTAGCCGCAGAGGCTGAACATGCGCCGGCGGCCACGGCTTATCACGCGTGCTAGCTAGCAGCATCGCCGGGGGACGACCACCCAAAAGGCCGGAAATCAGGTAACCTTGCCCGGCTCCCGTGGGCGCGCGGCACCATGATTGCTCGGCTGATGCTCCCTTGGAATGGGGGTTCAACTCGGGTCGAGTGCCTGGGTATGGGAAGAAATTGGGGATGTCTGGAGATAAGTGGAACGTACTGATGGTGTCGATCCGACGGGGGAGATCCCCAGCCACGCGAAGGTTGTGGGACCCAGGGGTCTGTCTCCCTTTGGGCAACCCCTTATCTTGGTGTGGCATCTATCAACAGATCATCTTATCAGAGGACACGAGACAAGACGAAGAAGTACCGGTGTGGCTGCAGAGCCAGAGTTTGGGCGGCAGAAGGTTCCGAGAAGCGCTTGATTGATGATTGGAAATTGGTTGCCAATTGTGTCCGAACGACTGGTGCTTGCGGCAAGATTCATCGTGCAGATGGACTTCAACGTCAATGTCCTTACCAGAGCACGCAATACCTTTTTGACGTCAAATACCAAGCTTCATTGAGGGTCCCTTCTCCAGACTGACGACACGCTGACTGTGCTCCTGTAACGTACGGCTACTCAGTCTCCAGTCGCTATGGAGCGAAGAGGACTTCATGTGCTGGCGGGGGTGAGCAAAGAAATCAACAATAGGGCCGAGAACCGATGCGCGACCCCAAGTTCGTGAAAAAAAATCTTCCGCATCGTTAGCTGATTTCTGTTCCATCAAGTCCCGAGATACACGAGGCGACCCAAATCTAGCCGTTTGTCACTCCCGTCAGTTGGTTGACTCGATGAGATCGAGTAATGATTTTTCCCAGCATGCGGGGTTCTGGAGCCAACGATAAGCTACCCCTGCCAGACAGGCTAACTTATCATACATAGCCGCACCGTCCCATGCCGAGCAGGCATCATGGTGCATCTGTGCTGAGCGGGAGCCGTTCTTCGTCGCTGTGCTACGAGCGCCACCTCCCCCAGTCTCCAACGCCCCTGATAAGACCTCTCCTCGGGCTGGCCAATAGCAGCTGTCGAATCCTTCCAAGGAGACATAATTTTCGGATTTCTGGTACAGGCCTCTGGGCTCTTACTCGATCAGATTTGACGTCGTTGTCGAGCTCGGCGCTCTCCAATTTGCTGCAATCACGGCGTGACCGGCAGCACCCTTGCCCGAATGCGGTCCGTAGCTTGTCTTGCCTGCGTCTGTTGGTATCCCATGCCATGACTTTTCCCCAATGGTCGTCTCCCCAGCGGGACAGGAATGCAATCCGAGCGAAAAAGAGCTTGTCCATGTGGGGGGCGTCGCTGCGATTTCCGGGGCCATCAGTCGATGTCCCTGGCCAAAGTTACGACAGACTCGTCTGCGTTCTGGGCCAAGACCGTTATCAAACTCCCCAGTCCAGCAGCGACACCGGGCCCGCGGATACAGAATAAATATCAGGCGACATCCTCGCGTGTTCTCTTTCTCGTGTCTGGATGAGATCCAGCCCGGGCCTTTTCTTCAACCCTCTGCCTTGGAATCGCCACTTTTAGGGTGCAGCACGTTGCAGATCACAACCTTTGAGACCCTGAGACCCGACTTTTCGCCTTCCACCTTGACGTGCATAGCGTCATCGCAACGTGTGACGAACCGCATCCCAGTCTTTGAAGGGCTGTCTTTCGGGCCTCGTTGTAGTTTCTTGACTCCTCGAGAGAATCAAACGCATTTTCGACTTCTTTCAATCTCTACACGCCCCGCAAACTCCCGAGATCTACACGATGGATATTGATACTGCGACCACGAGCGCGCGGCCTGAAAAGGTCCATGGCTCCAAGCTCAGATATTGGGCTGATAAGCTGGCCGTTGAGTCGGAGCCCGGCTTGACCAAGGCGCAGCTGATGGTATGGCATACCACCTCGAAAAACCGCTTCGCGTGCCGAACTGAGACTGACGGATGCGTCCATTTAGCTGACGAACCACGATCTCAAACCGTGAGTAGTCCGCGACAGCGGCAAAACCGCTAATCAACACCCTGGACATCTTGCTGATAGGTGGACAGTGTCGAGCCCGAAAGACGGCAATGGGGTCCTTGGAACTTTGTGGCATTCTGGGTCGCTGACTCCTTCAACGTCAACACGTGGATGATTTCGTCTTCCATGGTTGTAGGTGGTCTTTCATGGTGGCAGTCCTGGCTATGCGTTTGGCTGGGATATGCGATTGCTGGTGCCTTCATTTGCTTGACCGGTCGCATCGGTGCTGTCTACCACATCGGTTTCCCCGTTGTCAACAGATCATCTTTCGGCATCTGGGGCAGTTTGTGGCCAGTTTTCAACAGAGCTGCAATGGGTGAGTTGGTCGAATCATGAACGCGGGGTCCTCTTGCTAACCACCCTCCTTCTAGCCTGCATCTGGTACGGTGTTCAAGCTTACATCGGAGGCAACTGTGTTTACCTTATGATCCGTTCGATTTGGAAATCTTGGGTGAGTGGGAGTCAAAACAGAGACTTCTTTGCAGCAAGCCAGCTAATTGTTTCTAGGATCGCGAAACGATTAACCCTGGAGGCTTCCCAGCAGACTCCGGTACTTCGACCGCGGAATACGTCTCCTTCTTCCTCTTTTGGTTCTGTTCTTTGCCAGCCATTTGGTTCCCTGTTCACAAGATTCGCCATCTTTTCACCGTCAAATCTTACGTGGCTCCCTGCGCCGGCATTGCGTTCTTGATCTGGGCCGTTGTGCGCGCCGGCGGTGTTGGCCCCATCATCCGCCAGCCTGCAAAACTCCAAGGCAGTGACCTTGCCTGGGAGTTTGTCAAGGGCGTCATGTCCTCCATCGCCAATTTCGCGACGCTCATCGTTAACGATCCCGATTTCTCCCGTTTCGCTAGGAAGCCCCGCGACGCTTTGTGGTCTCAGCTTATCACGATCCCCACTGGATTTGCCTTCACTTCCTTCATCGGCATCATCGTCTCGTCCTCATCGACCGTCATCTACAACTTGGACGAACCCATCTGGAACCCGCTATCTCTCCTTGAGAGATTCATCGACGACGGTGGCTCCGGTCAGAGATTCGGAGTTTTCGTCATCGCAAGTTCCTTCGCTTTGGCTCAACTCGGTACGAACATTGCGGCGAACTCGGTCTCTGCAGGAACCGACATGACAGCCCTCTTGCCCCGCTACCTCAGCATCCGCCGCGGTGGATACATCTGTGCTGCCGTCGGTCTTGCTATGTGCCCTTACACCCTGCTCACCGACTCGAACAAGTTTACAACCTACCTCTCGGCATACAGCGTTTTCCTCAGCTCCATTGCCGGTGTCATGTGCTCCGATTACTACTTTGTCAGGAAGGGTTACCTCGAGATCAAGGAGCTCTACGATGCTCGCAAGGCTGGGCCTTACTTTTACACCTGGGGAATCAACTGGCGTGCTTATGTCGCCTACATTGCCGGAATTCTCATCAACGTTGTTGGTTTCGCTGGAGAGATTGGACGCGATGTTCCTGTTGGTGCCAAGTACATCTACAACATCAACTTCTTCGCCGGCTTCATCGTTTCAAGCGGCATGTACTGGGGTCTGTGTAAGATTTCACCGGTTCCCGCGACTAGCGACAGGTGGATGGAGGTTGGTGAGGAGATTGACGACATCCGGGTGGCGTACGACAACAACAGCCAAGACTTTGATGAGGAGGCTGTAACTGGTACTTCAAAGGGCCTTCATAGCCCCAAGCTTTAAATTTGATGGAGGGTTTCTAGGTTTTGAGGGGTTGACGATTTGGATTTTGTTGGATGATACCACTATTGCGAGCGAAAAGGTGTGACTGTTGTCTTAGGAATTAGAAGAGCTTTTGCAGTTGAAGTCGAAGCATTAAGGCCGATATGCCGCTTCTTGATGCCAAACTATGTATTGAGTGACGATTGCGTTTGAGAAAGAACAGCTTCACAACCCACGGTGGGCTCTCTCTGACTACATAGGATGTTACCTTGCATGAAGTAGCCAGACACTCACTTAAATCGGTACAAGTGGACATCTCAGCAACCACCGTGTCAAAAGCTTTGCACACTGTCGCAGTATCTACAGCCCACGAATGAGGCGCAACACTGGTGTACATCTGTGGGGCCATCAGCAGCTAAACATCTTCAACTCACCGCCAACCGAGCGTCCAGAAGCAATGAAGTTGATTAATGTACATACTCTTGAGATTGAAACATTCAATGCAGGAGAGCAAGTTCCAAGATACGCCATTCTATCTCATACATGGGGCAGCGACGAGATCAGCTTCCAAGAATGGATCACAAATTTCGGCAACCCCTCTCCTGAGTATCTGGAGAAGGATGGGTACCTTAAGATCATCAATGCCTGCTCAAAAACGCGGGACGACAAGCTGCGTTACCTCTGGGTAGACACTATCTGTATCGACAAATCGAGCAGCGCTGAGCTCTCAGAGGCGATCAACTCTATGTTTGCGTGGTACGAACGGGCTACCGTCTGTATTGTGTACATGGCGGATGTTGAATGGGAAAATGAGCTCATCCACAAGATTCACTCCAACCAACACTCAAACTTTGGCTCGAGTCGATGGTTTACACGCGGGTGGACCTTGCAGGAGTTGTTAGCTCCCCGGAAAGTCTTCTTCTTCACCAAGGAATGGACAGAGATCGGCACCAAGTCTGAACTAATGTTCAAAATCTCAAAGATTACCAGTATCGACGTTAGTTATCTCACCGACACTAGAAGAATCTGGTCGGCAAGCATTGCTGCACGTATGAGCTGGGCGTCCAATCGACAAACAACACGACCTGAAGACATGGCTTATTGCTTGCTCGGCATCTTCGACATCAACATGCCGCTGCTTTACGGAGAGGGTTCACGGGCTTTTCTACGGCTGCAAGAGGAAATCATCAAGTCCGCCGATGACCACACCATTTTCTGCTGGACTTGGGATGCAGACAAGACCCCTGATCAATGGCAGAGCGTTCTGGCTCCTTCTCCATCAGTCTTTTCAAATTCAGGCTCTTTCGTGGCCACGCACAGAAACTTTGAGAGCGCGCCATATCAAGTCACTAATGTCGGATTACGCATCAAGCTTCCTGTGGTAGCTGCAGTCAACTGTCTCGGCGCCATGTTGTCCGTCATCAGCACGGATGATGCGGACCCGGAGCACAAACGAATGATGTGCCTGCCTCTAATGGAAGAGGGGCACATTTACCGAAGATGCCCGTTCCCCAGTCGCCCATTTCCCGTCCACCGATCTATGGTATGCGAGACTAAGGAAATGTACCTTTTGTACAAGATCTCGAGGAATACAGAGGATCTTATGCCGTGGCCGTATCGCCATCTGTTTGAGTATGGCTTTCACATCAACATCCTCGACGAATCATTTTCCACAGACATAAACCAGCAAATGATTACCTCAGTCGACTGCTTGGTCCCTCAGCATAAGCAGACCCCCACATCGCACATATCAAGGCCAGTGTACAGCACAGTTGGCTTTCGGTCAGCCCTGACACATGCTTTTGGAGGCTTGATACTGAGAATCAACTACCAAAATGAGAGGTTTCTCGTCTTTCTCTCAGTGGGTCAAAGCGAGGGGAACTTGAAATGGAACTGTGAAGTTCTAGATCCCAAGTTCGCGGACCACAACGTTGATGATTGGCTCCGCGAATTCGAGGTGCACATCAACAGCACAGAGAACATGCCCGATTGTAACTTCCATTCAGCGCTTTCACCGAGTGGCACCGTACAGATACTCATAGCACTGGATGGAGACATCGCAGGCGAGGATGGTCGACGTATGCGGGTTATTTATCTTGTACTTTCGAGTCAAGATCATATGAGCCCACGTATGCAGGATACGTGGGGTACGTTGCAGCGTAGTTTAGGCGATGACAAGGGACGACCGATGTTTTCATAAAAAATGAAAAAGGCGGATTGCGTACACTCCAATAGCGATTGCATTACTGAACTCAACATAAGCCTGTATGAATGATAACATAACAGGCGTAAGGACGATGAGTATTAAAACCACGAGGTTCCATCAACTGGTCTTTTGAATATATGCTTGGACCTATCCTGAGAATCTCAATTGTTGTTTCGAAACGACGCTGCAGCGTTCAAACCATGGGTCAGGCATAGATATTAAGGTCCTATCGGGCTGTAAGTGCAGTCATGCAATGACGCTGCCATGTCCTCCATCATACCACGCATACTATCCGTATGGCTTTCCAGTATGGGAACAACTCTGGCACCATTGCCTTCTGCGCTAGCAACAAGTTCAGCTTCACTATGGACTGATGGCGGCGCAAAGATGGTCTTTCCAACGGTGATCATGCCCATCTGATCCAGAGGCTCCACAGGATACGCGTTGGTGAGCAGCTGATCGGGTACCGGAAGTCCGTCCAAAGCTTCTCGGAGAAAAAGAGCCAAGTCTCCTCGAATGCACGCTTGATGCAACTTCATCTCGTCCTTCCCCTTTGCGAAGTAATTAGCATACAGCTGGCGGAGGCGCTGACGCTGTCTGGGCGTCTTGCAGTTCATGAACCCGTAGTCGACAGCAACGGCGGAGACCGGTCCAGTCCCCTCCCATTGGGCGTATCTCTTGAGCTGCCAGACACTTTCATAACTTTTCCCGACAACTTTCATTAGGCATTTGAAGTTGCGAAGTCCAGCAATTTCGTTAGACAGGTCATGCTTTTCGAATAAGAATGGGATAGTAGAGTGCGTGATGGCGCTCCAGAACTCCTCGAGACATGTCTCATGGAGAAGCTTCCGGTAAGCGCGTCGCAGGTGCAACAAGCTCTGCCAGTTGGGAGCCGTACAGAATCCAAGGTCAATCCAATTATCCTCGTCCACGTTAGGAATCAATCCGAGCTTCATCTGCGTCCAAAACACAAAGGCTTGACGCTTCGAGAGAGGACGAATATCCGTCATGACGGTGTCGCAGAGTTGGGGAGGACACCACTGGCTCGCCACGTCACAGAAGATATTCCCAAAAACAGGACATTGCGAGTTGGTACCGAAGCCTTGGAGACCTTTGAGCCAAGCGGCATCGTCAGCCAGGCCCGTCTCATGGCAGCTCGATATCAGGAGCTCTTGTAAGTTGTCGTCCTCGCATGCCTTTCGAAGCTGTTCGTATGTGATGCCGTTGTGGACGATGTGGCAGTAGACACGAAAGAGTCGCGCCCGATCAGCCCCTTTAGCGAAGAACTTGAACCCGAAGGTGTGAGAGATTTCCTCGTCCATCGGGAAGAAGCGCTTATGGCATGCAACCACTAGACGGCCTGCCGCATCCGTCGTAGGAAGATTGGTCGCATTATCTGTTCTGGGGTTCGAATTAGAGATCAGTGTTGTTACCGGCTGTTGGTCCACATGCTTACTTGATGTCTTCGTTCTTAACTTCGATCTCAGAAAAGCGGGAAAAGAAGTCGGCCTCTCTTGGGTCCACATCTTCATATCGGAACAGCGACTTATCTACCGTCTCTGGTATGAACTGACAGTACGCAGCTAGCGTGTTGATTCCGGTTGCCATTGTGGACTGTAAATGACTCGCCCCGCCTTCAGCTACTGCGATTCTTGATGTGAAGAAGTCTTGCAGAGGGAATAGATGGCCAAGGCTAGCAGAGCACAACTGGCGAGGTGAGTCGGAGTAGATCATGATGGGGAGCGGGGCTTTATACTTTCCAGGAACCGTAAGCAAGCATCAAGTAATATGGGATGAATTTGCAACCTGGCTGTGGCTGCATTCGAATTATTTAGAATCAAATGGCAGAGATAACACGCGTGGATTGTGAACGCTAACCGAGTACCTGAAACATAAAAAAGAAAGGGGAAAAAAGAAAATGCATCGTGAACGCTGAAGCAATCCTACCGGAGCTGTCCCATTACATGTCGGCTGTAGCCCTCACGCACACCCTTCTCCCTCTGGCTCTGCGCCTTCAACTATCCCGCGTTACCTCAAATAATGGCTGAAGGTTATTCTTAGCACCTACTATCGCGTGCTTCAGGGGCCTAATCGCCGATAATGAATCTGCAAAGCAGAGATCTGCGCACCGTAGTATAACTCGCCATGGGCAAAGCTCATGAAATAACGGCGATCGTAAAATCCCCAAGCAGAAATATGTTGAAGAGGGCATTTCAAATGAAATAACCGTACATTGAACAGACCCAGTTTCTCCAGTGTCACGGCTTGTGTCGTATGGTTCGGCTTACCGAGACACACCGAGCTCGGTGTGCCCCGCACGGAAATGAATCCCGATTACACTAACAAGCCGAGGCAAATCGCCAATTGCCCCTGCAACACATCATCTCTTTACCCCGGACCGCCCCCAACCTCACGTCTCTCAACAATCTTACCGGCACTTACCAATTTTCATCACTGACACTTTCCAAAGCCCTCAATTGACACTGTCAGGCCTTTCGATTGTGAATTTACAGCTTTCTGAGACTTGAAGGGCACTCCCGAAGCTGTGTACTGCCTCCCTGTCTGCCACAACAACGGCATCCGTGCATCACCAAAATGGCTTCTCTCAAGTCCCCTCCTCCTCCCGTTCCCGACACGGACATCACCTTCCCCCGTCCCCACATCCTTCAGATTACCCTCAACCGGCCCCGTCATCTCAACTCCATCCCCTCGCCGCAGCACTACGCCCTCTCCAAGCTCTATGAGTGGTACGACGCCGAGCCGTCCCTCCGATGCGCCGTCCTGACCGGCACCGGCCGCGCCTTCTGCGCTGGCGCCGACCTGAAGGAGTGGAACGTCCGCAACACCTCCGGCAAGTCGCCCACCCCGTCATCCGTCAGCACCGGCTCGGGTGGCGCCCTCGCGGCAACAGCCACGGCCTCTCCAGCCCCTGTCGTCACGTCCTCGCACCCCGATGCCAAGCCCGGTGAAAAGTGGCCGTCGTCCGCTGGGTTCGGCGGCTTGAGCAATAGAGGTGGCAAGAAGCCTGTCATCGCGGCCGTTAACGGGCTGTGTCTCGGTGGGGGTATGGAGATGATCATCAACGCGGACCTGGTGTATGCCTCCACCAAGGCCAAGTTCGGGCTTCCGGAGGTCACGATTGGCGTGGTGGCTATCGCGGGCGCGCTGCCTAGGCTCATCAAGGCCGTGGGTAGACAGCGTGCGACGGAGATGGCGTTGATTGGCAGGTCGGACTACACACCCGAGCAGATGCTCTCGTGGGGTCTGGTGAACCAAGTTGTGGAGCCGGACAGGTTGTTGGACACGGCGTTGGCTGCTGCCGAGGCCATTGCCAACAATTCCCCGGACTCGGTGATTGTGTCCCGAGAGGGACTAAAGAGCGGATGGGAGGCGCTGGGGCCAGAGGATGCTACGGGATTGGTCGATCGGACCATCTACCGGAAGATGGAGGCCGCGGAAAACATGACGGAGGGAGTCAAGAGCTTCGTTGAGAAGCGGAAGCCCGTGTGGGTTGACAGCAAGCTGTGAATGGGCAGACGATCATGACCATTTGTATTATTACGGTTATCAGTCTGCACCTTCAATGTAAAACCATTCGCCCTTCGCACAACGTTACGGTACGTGACCGTTGGATATCATAAGCTTCCACCACATACAACCCCTAAAACCAGAGCACAAACAGCTCTACCTCCAATTTTGACCGAGCCGACAAATTACTGGCCAAACTCCTTGTTCTCCACACGAAGCTCTCCAGAGCCAGACTCGGAGTCCTTCTCGACGACACCGTGCGTCGCATCGCCGGGGGTGCCCATGCTCGCCTTCCAGTGCAGCTGCACCTTTCCGCCGGTGAAGAGACGATCGATCTGCTCGAGGCTGAGGTTCTGCGTCTCGGGGTAGAAGAACCAGATGAGGGGGATGAAGAAGAAGTTGAAGACGCAGAAGTAGACGTAGGTGCGCCAGCCGATGTTGTTGATGCTGACGGGCGTGATCTCGACGACGAGGAAGGTGAAGATCCAGTTGGAGGCCGTGGCGAGGGCGGCGGCGCGGGTGCGGATGGCCAGCGGGGCGTACTCGGCGGGCAGAAGCCAGGGGATGGCGAGCAGGCCGACGGCGAAGAAGAAGTTGAAGAGGAAGAGCATGACGATGGCGACGATGCCCGCGGGGACGCTGCCGTTGGAGACGGTGCCGGCGAGGATGGCCATGCAGGCGCACTGGCCGGCGGCGGCGAAGAGCATGAGCTTGCGGCGGCCGAGGCGGTCGATGACCCAGATGGGGATGAGGGAGGAGAAGAAGTAGGCGATGCCGTTGAAGCCGGCGAGGAGAAGGGAGAGGTTGTGGGACATGCCGACGGACTCCTGGAAGATGACGGGCGCGTAGTAAGTAATCAGGTTGATGCCGGACAGCTGCTGCATGAACTGGCCGCCGATACCCAGCATGGTGCGGTAGAAGAATTTCTGGTCGCCGTTTTTGAACATCATCTTGAAGGATCCGGTGTTGGCAGCCTCGCGCTCCTCGCGGATGGCGGCTTGAATCTCGGCGAGGTTGGCCTGCAGCTTGGGATCGTTCTCGGTGATGGAGTGGGCGTCCTTCTCGACGGCCCAGAGGATGTGTCGGGCCTCGTCGTGGCGATCGTGGGCAATGAGCCAACGGGGGGACTCGGGCAGGACGAGGACGCCAAGGAATGTGACGATGGCGAAGAGAATCTGCAGGGCGAGGGGGAAGCGGAACTGCGAGTCGTTTCCGACGTAGCTCATGCCGTAGTCGACCCAGTAACTGAGGGCCACGCCAAAGATGTTGATGGCGAGCTCAATGGCGAGACCCTTGCCTCGGTTATCCGCCTTCATCAACTCGGAGTGCCAAACAGCTAATGAGAATGAGCATCTCTGTCCACGATGGATGGATATTATCATCGATACTTACGGATTGTACTAGTATTCAAACCATTGCCTAGACCTGC